GTATATAACAAGTTTCGTAAGTGACGAAGGGGAATCTCTGCGATGCGAAGCTTCCTCTTTGGGATTTTGTAGCTCGAAAACTTTCTTCTGTCTTCCTTTCACATTAATATGTCTTCAGTGCGGCGTAATTAATTTCTGGAGGTTGGGAAAACCAGCAAAGCGTGACCACATTTTGATCGTGCTGCACTGAATTCGTTAAACTGTATGTTTGTCCGACGTACTTTCAGTTTCAAGTTATCGCCTAGACACCTGTAGCATATAGCATAAGGAGTATACAATATACCATATCGCGTACTACATAGATACACGCGCCGTGATCTGTCCGTTTAACGCCATGTAGCCGCGTGTTCTTCGATGAAGGAGGCAGGTTGAACAACCTATGTATTTCTGTACGCCCCGTTTGAATGTCAGGTACATCTGTGTGTTGTAGTGTTTGTTCTTGTATTTTTTCTAGATAGGGAGTATTTTCGTCTTTTCCTGGTACATGTTGCACTGTAAGTTTCTCACCAAGAACTGCTCTTATTTGAAACATACAAAGCATTTGGATCCGTTTTAACAAAAACAAATACGAAGGGTTCGGCTGGTGCTTTTTGTAATACGAAGAAAATTCGTTTGTAATGTGGTGATTCCAGATCCTTTGTAAGGAACCAAGAGTGTGTTGTTTTTCCAGGCTGTCAGAAAACCCCAAGATAGAGAAAAAATGATGTCTTACAAAGCCTTGCTCCCATCCGAGGTACAGCGTCCGAAACTCATGCTCTGTTTGAAGTTGGCGGCGTATTTTTTTTTACATTTTCACGTTTTTTTCAGACCCCTTTTGGTTTTTTTCGTATTTCGAAATTTCGAAATTTGTTGAGAAAAATTGTCGTTTTAAGGTTCAAACATAACCCGGGCATAATTCTAATTTAAAAAGAAAAAAATGACGTTTTTGCTCGCGTTTTTGTTAAAGTAGTGGTTTTTCAGATCTTTGTTAAATTTTTACAGCCTAAGTTAGGGTCACTCCCACTACTTTTGACGATTGTTCTTAAATGGACACGCCTTAAAGAAAATTTTCCATCCATTATAAGTGCAGTTTTGGAATTCCATCACCCCCTTTCCATTTTGGCAAAATGCACAATTTAAAACTTAAAATTGTCCATTTCGGGTACTTAGAGTAATCGGACGATCCCGGCATGATTTGGATTTCTCTCGTTGAGTTACACGATGGGTTACTTAAGTTGACGATTTTGAGCGATTTTTGAGCGATTTATAGCCGATTTCCTGTTTTTAGTCTTTTTCTATTGAGAAAAGTCCGAAAAACCGATAAACAGCGATATCTCCTGAGCTATTTGAGCTACAGGACTCCACCTGCGCTTAAAATGCTCCTTTTGGTTTGTTCTTAAACATACAAGAGAACGAAGGTAATCAAAAGGGGTCTGCGAAAACGTGAAAATGTAAGAAATACGCCGCTAGTTGGACTCGGTTGGGACTAAGTTTTGTTATAAAATAGGAAACAAGCATAGAGACAGTGGTTTAAGCATGTTTGATTTTTGAGGGAAAACCTCGTTCATGTCCTTTGTGCTGGTATTTTTGCATGATGAAAATTTTTGGATTTGCAACAAAGTTAAGTATAGAATTAAACATTAATCGCGAGTGTTTTTTCGGTGCAATTGCAATTCGATCTTCTTACCTCACTTTTCTTCCGCTGCTTTTCCTCGTGTTTTCCCAATCAACTTTTTTTTTTTTTTTATCGAGGTGTAGGGCAAAGCAGCAGCGCGGTTCTAAACTGCTTCTCGGGGTTGTGTAACAGCAGTGAAGCTGAGCAGCAGCGCGGTGACAATGGCGGAGGGGCTGACCATTATACCACCCGATATCACTGGCCGTCTCAGCGCCGCGCCTGATCATTATCTCTGGCAGTGACCGCCCCCCTCCTGGCCGCCCCCCGGTGCAGAGATGATGATTCCGATCCGTTGTGTTAAGTAGACAGCTGGCGTCAGCTGGCCTCGCTCAGACAGAAGGACCCGTTGAGTCTCACAGTCTATCCCTCCCGCGCGCCTCAGGCACCCCGACCACCCGACTTGTGTTTGACCGTGTGCGCGCGCGCATTGCTGTGTGGTTCTGTGTGCGTCTATTAGTTGCCGCTGACAGGGTCGTTCGGGGCACGCACTCACACACACACACACACACACACACACACACACACACTATATCTCTCTTACACACACACTCAAATACACTTTCACACACAAACTCACTCGGACCTCGAACATGCAATTGATACGCGTCCGTGGGTGGAGTGTGGTCGAGTGCAAATACAATCGACTACTATTCACATTCACCAGGCTGTACATTGCTCCCCGGCCCCTGGTAACGGTCCCGCCCCTGGCCGCACGTTGATTGTGACCAGCAGCCGTGTGGAATGGGCCCCCTCATGTTCGCTCGCCCGCCTGGCCGGCCCGGCGGGCGCCTGCGGGTCGGTGGGTAGGCCCGCCCGCCGCGCGCCCGAGTGCAGTGTGTTGCCTACGCGCCGGCGGCCTCTGGGCGCCGCATGGTCGGCCCCCGATGCACATGTAACTGAAATTGTCAATCAAACTGCTTGAAAACTGAGACTGGGCATCGCGGTCGCTTTCGAGAGACACGGAGACACCGCCTGAGACTATGGTCTACCAACTGATCTACCTGCCACCCTCGTCGCGCACCTGATCTGTTTGTGCGGCTTAGACACCAAGCAGTGCGCCGTGTTTGGCGAAGAATTTTTGCGGCACCCGAATTCTTCCGGCGCCCCACAACTCGACTTGTTGCCGAGCGCGGCCGAGGAGTGCGCAGCGACATCTGTCGAGGGTTGTGGTCGCCGCTGCTGCCACTACTCCTCGCTCGCCCCGCGGCCTGCCCGCCGGTACCCCGCGCGCGCCGCCCACCCCGTCAGGAAGTAGTGCTGATACCGGGGCGGGCCGAGGCCGGGCACGACGCAGAGAGAGCCCCGGCCCGCAGACGGTCTCCAGGCCGCCGACGACCAGGGCCGTGACTTATCCAGGACGACGACGAGCAGCCGCCGCAGGATGTCACCGTGGACGCGGGCCCCGTGCCTGCTGGCGCTGATCGCCGCTCTCTGTTGCCTGCAGTGCCTGCCCGCCCAGCTGTTTGGGGGCGGTGACAGGGGTTAGTAGAGGCCACGAGACCTTGACGCCACAGAAGTGTCACTTCAGATAGTTGTTAAGCATACCTTATACTGAATAACTCAATCGGGGTTGGCTCACTGTAAATATGGGGTGTCCTGTCAAGCAGCAACGCGACTAACGTCACCCGATCCAATAATTAGGGTAAATTACTCTGTAAATGGAACAGTTGAACAGCCTTACTGTTGCAGCAGTGGAGCCTCGATCAGAGCGAAATGCCCCACACTCCCAAAACACTGAGTTCTTGGACCAAGTACTCTACTTGACCGTTGGTCAAGTGATTCAAGTGATATGTACTTGAAAAATCAATGATCAAATGCAAAATGTACTTGGTACAATGTAATTGATCAATGAACTCAGTTTTCTGGGTGCACTGTTGCAAGGGCAGAACTCGCCTGCGCTTGTACTTGTAACAGTCGGGCATTTCGTTCTAATCTTGCTTTTGAAATAACGATTATGTGACAATCGAAGCACTTACAGTGCATGCCAAAACGACACACGCAAAAGTGTGTGTGACAGCCTGGTCTCACACTCCTTTTCTGTCGAAAAAGTAATTTTGATTTTACTAGAAGTCACACCGTCACACCAAAAACCGGAGAACATTTTTCGACGCCACCCAGGCGTCGCCCCCATGCATGAAAGTCCGTTCTACGACGGTCGCCCAGAGAATGTCCGATCTACAAGCGTCGTTTGGAGAATGTTCGATCTGCATTAGCCCGGCTGGAGAACATCCGAAGCAACATTTTTGACTGTTTTGAGATATTGATGCCATTTTACGTATCTCGCTAAGTTACATAAAATGGCACCAATATCTCAAAGCAGTCAAAAATGTTGCTTCGGATGTTCTCCAGCCGGGCTAATGCAGATCAAACATTCTCCAAACGACGCTTGTAGATCAGACATTCTCTGGGCGACCGTCGTAGAACGGACTTTCTTGCATGGGGGCGACGCAGGGTACGGACAGCTCCTTGAAAATGACTGAAAAACCAAGCCTAGTGAACATTACTGCTTAAGGGGGTTTTCTATGGTTTAAGTCAGACCAAAAACAAAATTTGAAACATTTAAATTCCCATTAATGAAGATGTTTGGAAACTCAAGTGGCGTTGAAATTCGGCTTTCCCTTTTCCAGTGAGACTCCTCTGTGAATGACATGGTCGTCGCACACTTTTCGATGCATGGCATAATGGCCACGCATTGCCTTTGTGTGATATTTTGGCACGTACATTTAAGTAGTGTTCGAATGTCACAAACCTCTATTTGTGGAGTGTACTTGTGGGACTGTACTTTGCTACAGTTGCATTCGCTGAGAAAGTCAGTCACCTGCTGGTCACTTTGTTTTCAATGCCCTTCTCATTTCAGTGATATCTCGTATGCATAATTCAATTCATTAATTCCTAGGTCAAGTGACTACGGATAGGATATGAGAGCAGGCGCAGATTAAGAGGCAAACCCCCTTCCCCCGCTTTCGTCTATGTATTCGTCTAGGCTTCTTTTCGTGGGATAATTTTAAGTTTGGTAGAATCTACGAATACTTTTACACTTCTTCTCCCACTATTTTGATAGTCTTTTCAGGGCCAAATTTTTGGTTCGCAAATATGGGGCCGACCCAAGGAGCAAAATCGCACCGGATGGCGTGCGTGCCTGGTGGGACCCGATAGCAGAGGCAGAGCCGCGCTTCCCCCGCGTGTGGGTGAAATCGCGCTCCCGAAAGCGCGTCGCTACATGGCAGAGATAACGCGCAGCTGCAAACAGCTGGACACTGACTGTAGTTCAGCGTTTATATTTAGCTTTATATAGCGGTAGCAGTTGCTTTCAGTCTGAAATGCGAATATTGATGTCCGACCGCAGGAATGATGGGCAAGAAGGACGGTGGCAAGACGAGCCAGGATATCAAGAAGACCACCAGTGACTCGAGCACGGAGGCACCAAAACTGGTGGTTGCCAAACCAAACGAGGTGCGTCTGCTGTAGTTTACAATTTCACCTTTTCATCAGTGTACTATTCTAATCGCCGAGAAAACTAATCACAAATAAATGGGAATGTGTGTTTGTCTCAGGCCGAGGACAAGCCCTACCAGGTGTGCAAGAGCATCGGGGACTTCCCCGGCCACTGCCGCCACATCCGGTACTGCCTCATCAACGAGTTCCGCACCAACTACACCCTGGTCTCGTACTACAACTGCCCCATCGAGGACAAGTACGTCGGCGTGTGCTGCCCGGACGACCGGGACACACGGCCCAAGACTGTGGCCGTCAAGCCGCTCAAGTCTGACGAGGAGTCTGAGGCCGAGGAGGCCCGCATCCTGGCCAGCAATACGAACCGCGTGGACCCCATCAAGAGACCGTCGCCGCTCGGGCCGGCCGGCAAGAACAGGGGTAAGCACGAACGCCGCAGTGGCTGGCCTGAGACTTACTTTTTTGGGGGTTCCCGTACAGAAAAATTCGGCCTCAGCATGGGTCTAGAATGGCTCCGTCGTAGCCATTCTCAACACATCGCGGAGGATCGCTGTGA